CTAGTATTCAAAGCCCAGAGCTGCCAAGCCCATTGATTCTGCCTTTCTTGAATCTTTTTGTGCAGTCTCCACAGGTACCCCCAAGTATAGCGCTGCAGTTGGGAACACAAACTTAGGATGCTGATGGCTTGCGTTCCACGTGGACCCGATATCTTACTTGACCTTGGGAAAGTTACACAACCATCTTATGTTCTGGTTTTCTAATCGATAAAGGTCTGAATTCTTGTACCATCAGGGGTAGTTTTGAGGATCAGATGAGCCACTGGGAATAGAGTGCTCAGAATCTGGTGCACGCCAACGACCCTGTGACACTTTTACTGTATGGTCACCCTTGCCCAGACTACTGGAAGCACCCCATTCAACCCATCTCTAGGCTGCCAATTCTAATGCACCGGATCTCTTTTATAAAGAAGAGCCAAACACATAATTTTAAAATGCAAATCTGATTGTCAATTCCCTACATTTCCCTCAAGTGATGCTTTATTACCTTTTGATAAAGTTCAATTATGTTAACGTAACCTGGGTCTGGTGCGCCTTCAGCTGTGTGGCTGCCCACTCTGTTCTCTCATGGGACATTCCAGTCACGCCAGTGTTCCTATATATCCGGCCCATCTTTGTTTATTAATTAATTTTATTGGTACATTTTAGATGCAGATAATGTTACATTCATCATAGGGAATTTGTGCACGCACATGGTATGTCTTGCTTATTTATTGCCCATTTCTCTCCTTTGCCTTCAACTCCTCTTCCCCTCCTTATTTACAAAAGTGTTGTTTTCATTTTTCTTTTTTTATCTTTTTTTTCTTTTTACTTGCTTCCTCCCAGCTCCCTAGTTCCCTTTCCTATTTGAATATTTTTTCTTATTTCACAATATCTATGATACACTTTGGTCCTTATTTACCCTTTTGGTTTCTTACACCAGAGAAACAATGTGGTAGTTACAAAGTGTGTAACTAAAAGATTTATTTTACTTGAAAGTATAGTCTCTAGGTGCATCCATGTACCTAGAAATGTCTCAATTTTATTCTCCTTTATGACTGAGTAGTACTCCATTGTATAAACTAACACACATCTTTAAGCACTTATCAGTTTATAGGCATTTGTGTTGTTTCTAAGATTAGGGTGTTGCAGGCTGTGCCACTACAAACGTGGGTGTGCGTATCCTGCTGTGGTCTGATGCTTTCCACTGTTTTGAGGACATACTAAGAGGAGCAATTTCTGGGTTGAACAGGACCTCTGGTTTTTGTTTCTTGAGGGATCTCCACACTGATTTGCACAGTTGCTGTACCAGTCTGCACTCCCACCAACAGTGGAGAAGGGTATCTTTTTCCCCACGGCTCCTGCAGCATTTCTTATTGGTTGATTTCTTGCTGTTAGCCATTCTTTCTGGTTAAAATGAAATCTTATTGTTCTTTTAATTTGCATTTCTTGAATGATCCATGATGTTGAACATTTTTTCATATATATATATATATATATATATATATATATACGAAATATATATATATTTGCTGTTTCTACTACTTCATCTGAGCAGTATCTATTCACCTCAGCTGCCTGTTTCTAAACTGAGTCTTTAAATTTGTGGGGTCTAATTTTTTAAGTTTTCTATATATTCTAGATATTAGGACTATCAGATGTCAGAAAATGGAAAGATACTCTTGCTCTTCAGTAGTAAGAACCAACAAGGTGAAAATATCCATTCTCCCCAAATTTTCAAACAGATTTAATGCAATCCCACTCAAAATGCCATTAGTGTACCTCACAGAAATACAGAAAGCATTCCTAAAATTCATTTGGAACCAGATAAGGCCTAACAATGAGGCAAAAACAATTCTGGGCAACAACGTCAAGGCAGGCGGAATGAAAGTCCCTGACTTGAAATTACATTACAAAGCAATGTGAGGAAAAGCAGCACGGTCCTGGGAAAACCAAACATAACAGACAAATCCAAGGATCAGCGAAGCAACCTGGAAGATGCAGACGTGGCTCCGCAGACACTCAGCCGCCTTGTCCTTGGACAGGGCCAGACACCTTCACTGGAAGAAAGACAGCCTCCTTAACAAAGGGTGCTGGAAAAATTGGCTTTCTACAAGCTGAAGACTAAAACTAGACCCACATCTCTCACCTTGCAGTAAACTAAAATCAAAATGGATCTAAATATTACAACAGAAACACTGTATCTGCTGGAAGAGAGAATGTGTAGCGCTCATGACAACACAGGTTTAGGCCAAAACGTTATGAAGAAAACTCCAAATGCATGAGAAATATCACAAAGACACAACAACTAGAATTTCACCCTGTTAAAAAGGTTTTGCAAAACAAAAAATCACCAATAGGGAGAAGAGAAAACCCTCAGAATGGGAAAATATTCTTGCCAGCTGTTCCTCCAACCCATCTTGATAGCTCTGAACTTTAGGGTTTCAAATACACGTTTGCCTCAAAAAGCCCTACACCACTTTACCTCCCTTTGCATGGCTAATCATCTAATTACCTTGTCTAGGGAGCTCGTAGGCATGAGAAATACTCCAGAACTGATTATCAGTGCAGTAGGAAATAAAGGTTAATCAAGGAGAGACAGACTTCTGTCACAGGCTGCTGCCAAACTTAAGTTACCTGAGAACTGAGATCTGACTAATGGATTTATCAACATTATTTCCCCAGTAGTCCTTCACTAAAAGGCACAAAAGTATTTTTGAGGTTGTAATTTTTACACGTAATGCTGGGTTTTCAGAGTGCGAACTCCTGACGTCTAACCCGAGCTCTGAAGGGAAGCACCAGTAAAGAACTGGGAAAAGACTCTGTGTCGTGCAGCAGTGAGGTAGCCTTGTGTAAATAGCAAGTAGAAAAACTTGAAAACGTTCCAATTAGTCTACATTCTCTTGGAGAGCAAGAAATCTTAATTAGTTGGCCATAAAGTTGCTGTCTATGGTAGAGCGGTCCCCAAGAAGGGCGACTGCATGCCAACCATTGTTTTGAGGAACATTTTATTCCATTTCTTTACGACAAATGTGTTTGAGGACCAGTGTTCTTCATGTGCCTTTGACCTCTCAGGTCTCTTCCAGTAAGCTCAAGGATAATTTCTGCCTTTCTGGAAGAAAGAAAATCAATACCTTATAGTAAAAATTTTATTTTTAAACATCAAGCAAAATGAAATGATTGTAAAAATCTAGCCTATGCCAGTAGTGTAGTAATAACATCATTGTTAGAGGAATCTGTAGAGTTTGGGGTCAAAGAGATCAAAGTATTGTGATTTTTGATCCAAGTATTCACGTTTTCCCTACTTACTATAATTTCTAACTCAAAAGACTTTTAAATGGAAAAAAAAGACCAACTCATCAAATATACCACATTTGAATAGATGAAATACAGAATTAATTTATAAATTTTCATTTTCATGAGAAAGAGAAATTTTTCTATGATCTGAAAAAATGTGTATTAACAAGGCATTTAATTTTTAAAAGCAAATATGCGTGGTAGGTAATGATTTTCTTTGTGATCGCAATCTGTAATTGTCAACAGGGCTAACCTTGAGAAGTCAAGCTGTGCTGAAGCTCATCATATTAATGACATACCGCACCATTGTCCCAATCACTGGTTTTGTTGAAATGGGAACTAATGGAAAAGGAAGGCAAATACATCATCTGGCTTATTTTCAGGGCTACATTTATAATAGAAGTTAAGTACCAAAGCGCTTCCCTGGCAAGCGCAAGGGCTTGAGTTCAATCCCTGGTTCTGCCAAAAAAAAAAAAAAAAAAAAAAAAAAAAAAAAAAAAAAAACTAAATGTGGCCAAACTCGAATCTTGAGTAATCCAAGTCTTCAATTAATGTTAAAAGCAAGTCATTCAGGGGTGGGGGATATAGCCCAGCGGTACAGTGCCTACCTGGCAAGTGCAAGGTCCTGTGTTTGATTCCTGGTACCCTACTCCCTCCAAAAAAATCAAGTCATTGAAGAAAGATATTTAATAAACTCTTACCTTTAAAGTCTTCAAGGAAAATCAGCATACACGTCCCCTCGTTAAAAATATACACTCTATCTATTCTCTCCAACCTGCTGCTTCTGTCATTTAATTTTCTTTCTTGACCTTTACTTAGAGGAAACAGATCAAATGGGAAATAACTGCTCACTGCTGCTCCTACAGTCTATCTGAGATGTGCTTTGCCTTGTGACCTTTAAATTATGGGGTAAATAAAATGAATCTCATCTCCTCTTATGGACTTGATCTCTGGGTCAAAATATGTTTGCTTTTCATCTGTGTGGAAATGCTAGAGGCTGTGATTGCCATGGATAGGTGCGGTCGGGTGAAGAATGGGCAGTTGCCAGTGGAGCCAGGTGGGGACAAAATGACAATATGAAATGGAAAGTTAAGGAGGAACAAATTTTCTGGACGGAGATGGTGATTACAGATGGCCACTCGCCCTTCATGGGTGAGTCTAAGGCTCTCGGGCCAGCAAGGAAATGCCTGCGCTGTTCGGGAAGGCCACCCAGGAGAGCCCTGCGGAGAGCTTCGGTGTGGGCCTGAGTAGCTGTAAGAGCAGAGTTTGAAATTGAATAAAATGCCTCAGGGGTCTCATGACATTTCTCTCCCACTAAGAAGGGATGTCTTGTAAGCACCGATTTAATATTAGGGTTGATATCCCCAATAAAATATCATGGGCACTTTTAGAGTTTCCACTACCCAAGCTATTTTGGTTTGATAAATTGAGCTATATTCTTACTTTCAAAAAATTAATGTTTCATAAAGCCTAATGATATTTACTGAGATATAAATAAAGTTGAAGTTCTAGCCAAGGTTATCTGACTTTGAAAAATCAATATTTTCCTGTGAAATTCCCAGATTGTTCGCATTGCTTTAGTCAGCATTTAAAAGGAAATGCTTGCCAATACGGTGAGAATTAATTGATAGCTAAATGGTTTGGGCCAGGAGACAACTCTCCGGTTCCAGCTGTGTGGCGCTGAATGCACACTAAGCACCCTGCGTGCTCCTGTCGTTGCCTAGATATCGACGAGTGCGGGACTGGCAGGCACAGCTGTGCCAATGACACCATTTGCTTCAACTTGGACGGTGGCTATGATTGCCGGTGTCCTCACGGAAAGAACTGCTCCGGGGACTGCGTCCACGACGGGAAGGTCAAGCACAGCGGCCAGATTTGGGTGCTGGAAAGTGACCGGTGCTCCGTGTGTTCCTGTCAGGTCAGTCGGAATGGAAAAATTTTATTTGGTTGCAATTGGCATATCTTTCCAGTGAGTTCTGACCAACACACACGTGAATTTCAGTAAGGTAACAGTGTCACAGAGCATTGTCATTGACCCAAAGTGTTCTTTTCTGGTCAGCCGTGCACCTCTAGGCCTGGCAGATATGGCTTTCCAGTCCTGTGGGTTAAAGTACTTTTGCTAAAGCTCCATGTAAATGAATTCTCTTTTATGTTGTCCCTGTGGTTCCTCTACTGGGGGGTCCCCGCTTGGAGTCCTACAGAGCTACATCCGCAGCCCTTTTCCTAACTTTATATTTTGGGGTAGGATCTCGCTACGTTGTTAAGTTGCCAAAGCTGAGCTTCAATTCACAAGTCTCCCTCAGCCTCCGAGTGCTGGGGCTACTTGCTTGTGCCAATAGGCAGGCTTATTTGAAATCAGCATACTCCATGCGCTTGACTTCTTTCAGTATTATTTTAAATTTTCCTTCATACTGTGATGTATCTTTTCCTAAACAGCACTCCATGATACCATTATACTGCGATATATTTATTCACATGTTGATAAATTTTTATTACTACATTAATTCTTCTGTAGTGATAATATGATATTTGAATAAAAGCATAAATGAAGCCAGAATAGATCAATGTTGATCGAAGAGTTGAGCTTAAAATGTCAGTAAGGTCAGTACTTCAGTCAAGAGGTTTCTGTTATGTCTACCCAGTTAATAATAGAGACTTCAATGAAAAATACTATTGTGAAAGAAATTGGTAACCATTTGTACAAAAACATAACATCAATATTATAGAAATTTAGCAATATATAAAACTTACTGTTATCTATCAAACATACACTTGCCTTCACATCAAACACATTTAGGTTAGTATACCAATTACCACACTACACACACACAGACACACAGACACACACACACACACAGACACAGACACACACACACAGACCACATAGCCATTACCATATTACACTGATCACCACCAGTCAGGACTGTGCTTAGTCATTTCAGGACATTTGTGTAGAAAGCAAGTGCCCCAGCTTGGATGATTTCTGAGTTAGCTACAAGACAGAATGCTAAAGAAAACGCACCACGTTAGGTAACAGTTGTGAATGTGCTCAACCTCCAAATGGCATGAACTTACTGAGAAATGGGATTTCTTTTTCCTTCCTCTCCAGAACGGATTTGTTATGTGCCGACGCATGGTGTGTGACTGCGAGAACCCAACGGTGGACCTGTTCTGTTGCCCCGAGTGCGACCCAAGGCTCAGCAGTCAGTGCCTCCACCAAAACGGCGCGACCCTGTACGACAGCGGCGACACCTGGGTGCACAGCTGCCAGCAGTGCCGCTGCCTGGTAAGTCCAGCTGGAGAGGGACCTGGAGCCGAGCGGAAGGCGGCCTCCGGGCCCCCACCGGACAGAGCGCCCGGCCCCAGCCTGGCGGCTGCGTGGGTCTGGCGAGGACGATGAGATGGGCGACCCGGGAGAGAACGTCCTGGGGTGACCGTGTGCTGCCGCCTTGCGTGTGCTTTTGCTGCGAGTGAGGTCTCTTCAGGAGCCTTTCCACAGCTCCTCTCCCCTCACCTTCCACCCAGTTTGCACTACCTTAAAAGCAGCTCTGAGGGAAACAATGGCATTTTGGGGGAAAATTTTTTTTCGAATCAAACTTTTGTTAACCCTGTCCACTTCTGTCCATTCTTCAGGTGTAAAACAACAGACAAAAACTACTTTCCTTCCACCTAAAACTGTTGTCAGTGCTTTCTGGTAGCACTTTGGCTTGCATACTCTCTGAATATATTCATTATGTATATACTGCACACATATATTAAATTTGGATTTACATATAGTTCTGTGAAACTTCCTGGAAATAGCAGGAATAAAAACTTGATGAAGACAATACCAATTTTTTTCAATTTAATAAGTTTATTTTTTCTTTCTCATGTGAATGGAAAGAGAAATTATGTGTGACTAAAAAGAGAAATTGCCTTCTGTTTGTGTAGCAGAAAGATTCACAGGAGAGGTTACATTTTTTTCCAAGCCCAACTGTATCCAGCTTTATTAAAGATACTTTTCATAAGCAGTCATGGTATTTCAGGCAGGACATGGGCACACAATCATTCACAGTATAAAAACACTTTCAAACTCCCTTCTTGGATGAACTACCAAAAATCAGAAAGGCACTATAAAATCCAATGAAGTCTTCATTTGAGGCACTGAAGCAGGGAAAGTTTAGAGTGAGTGTTGACACTTCACATTTAGTGTGCTGTTTAACAACTTTTCACAAGCCGACCCTGACTCTCAGGAAATGAAAACGGCAGAATTATCAATCTGAAGATCCACAATCTGGAAAAAGAAAAAAAAAATGCTCTTGTGGGACACCATCTCAATGTTACTGGCAAGTCCAGATTGCCTGACACACTGGTAATATCACCTTGGGAATCAGATCCCAGTAGATCCCAGTCAGATCTGGGCTTAAGGGAGTTAAACGTATGCTGATGGCAGAGGAAAAGAGGACATAAAATGAACTGGGAGCTGTCCCGTACCACAAGGCATTTATGCCAAAGTGGCCACATGTGTCAACATCAGGGAGTCCCTCCTCCCAGGAGCCAAGAGGAAGTCTCTCAAACCAGCAGGGAAAGGCGCCTTCCCCACATCAACCCGGCTTTGGAGACATTGTACTACTGACATATGCTCCTTCCCCAAAAAAAGCAATGACGTGTTCTGTGTGCTAACAACACAGCTTTAAAAAAAAAAAAAAGAAAGACAAAATTCTGCATTTTTATAAAACTTGATTTAAAAAAATAGCATTTCAAAGTGTACAGTCACCAGAAGTACACAGTTATCAAAAATGCACACACTTCACTTGGCCTCTCCAGCACCTTCAGCTTTGTGTGCCTGGTCTGATTGGCATCTCCATTTTCTGCAGGGTTATTCCCATCCTTGCGGGCATCCACTTTTCCCTTTTTCCCTTTGGGTACATTCTCTAAGCTTCTTTTCAGGGGCCTTTTTAGGCTTGGGCTCTGGTTTTGGAGGCGCTGGTTAGCAGACAGCCTTGCAGATCTTCTCTGTGGCTCACCCTTCATCTTGGTTTTGTTACCCTTAGCATCCCCTTCAGCCTTCCTCTTGGGCGTGGTGGTGATGGGGGCGGGTCACAGGCGCTGGACAGGAGATGCCGCGGCGCACAGCTTTGGGGGCCCGGGGGCCGGCCTCGCTTCTTCACACTGCTCCAGAAGAGGTTACTTTTAAGTGATAGTCAGATGCTCTTCTATTTGAGAAGATATTTTAAAGGCATGCTTTCTTGTTTCTTCTTTTTAATTGTTCCACCCAAAAATCAATTAGAAGAGCAAAGTCAGTTTCAGTGCCTGAAGAATGCTTTTCTCTCTAAGCCCATGAGATTTAAAATTAGAAAGAAAATAGGAAATAGGTGTGAATTACATTTTTAAAAAGATAAAATTTGCAGTTTTCTTACGTGGGATAAGAAAAAGTAAATCCTAAGCATGTGTTTGTTCAGGGAGGATTTCTAAGCCCTGCATGTGTCAGTTAGCCCTTCTGTCAGTGGAACACAATACCTGGTGCCCCCAATGTAAAAAACAGGTTTGTTTTGCCTGTGGTTTCAGGAGATTCAATTCTGTGTGCACAGGCTGCAGGTCAGAAACAGGGAAACAAAAGTTCGTGGCTCTTTGTTCATGGTAGCTAAGGAGCAGAGCCAGGGGACAAGGCCAAAGAGAAAGAACAAGGGGCCAGGCACCAATCTTAGAGGAACACCAAGAAATACGCAGAAGCTGCTCCTCAATCCCCAGAAGAGATCCCAAACTCACTTAAGTTGACTCTGTCCCCTGCCACACCTTGCCCCTTGTCAGCTTATCAACTTGATGCCTAAACACATCTCCTTAATCCATAGTTAATCATCAAATAAAAATACTAAATTCATAATTCCACATAATGTAATCCACATGCTGTGTATACAAGAAGACATGCACTGATGTCTTCCCCAAGGTCTCAACAGTTCCAGCATCTTTTGAAAGTCCAAAACAAAGTCTCTTCTGAGACTCAAGTCAAGTGCTTAGCAGTGAAGCTCTATAAAAATAAAAATACATTGTAAAATCGCCAGATACAATGGCAGAGGGTAAATGCTCTCATTCCTAAGAGGAGAAATAGGAGAATAGATAGAATTCAACCACAGTGAGACCAACCCAACGGCAAACATGAAGTGCTGTAGTTTCTCATATGGCACCTGGGCTACCCGTGGTGAGACACGAGCTCCAGGGGGCGTGAACAGCCCCTCGCTGGGACCTTGCGGCTTGTCCCTTGGGCTGGCTCTGCTCTTAGGCTGCAGCTTTCCTTGCAGACATCACACGTTCCTAGCATCTCCAGTTTCCTGTGGTCTCTGCCTGCACCCGGGGCTGCCATCTTGCAGCTTCATGGCCTGCTCTTGGGCTTCTTTCCTGGCCTCCACACCCTTCCTTTGAAGCTGGGGTAGAAGACATGCTAAGCCCACAACTCTTCACTCTGCACACCCATAAAATCAGCATTACACAGAGAAGGCTGGTATGTGTCATTGGTGCAGGCTGTAACTGGGGCCCTTTGGACAGTGGTTATAGTAACCTTTAAATACCCGGGTGGTGAACACAGTGAAATGAATCCTGGGACACCAATTCCCTGGGCAGGTTTTCCCTAGCAGAGGGCCCAAAAATTATCTTTTCAAATGAAAAGTTTATACTTTGTGGACTTTAAGCCTATGATGTGTGGAATCTTACTATTCTTGAAATACCCTCAAGGCAGCTTTCTTCCTGCCCCTGTACAAATTATCAGTTTCTTTTTAATTGCATTAATCTCTTCATCCTTTGGCTCCAATGTCATGTACGTTTCTCTGACTTTTGACTACAGTTCTCACCTCCAAATCCAATTAAAGGCAGCCATTGGACCATACCACAGCCTAAATGTTGGGCTGCCTTTGAACTTCTTTCAGATTGGTTAATTCACTTCCCTTGTCCTGTCTCTGTACATTGACAAAATGTAGAGCATATTTGCCAGAATACACACAGCCTCTAGTCCAATTGCAAGTGTAGTCCCCATTCTAGTCCTCTGTGCTACAATCATAGTAACCCAGCCTCTGCTTGAAGCATTGTAAGGCTTCACTAGCCAATAGCTCCAAAGATTTCTGAAGCTGTCCTGCGAACCATTACCAAAGACTTCTAAACTATATGATCAGGAGTAACCACAGCAGTGATCCCATTTTTCTAGTTCCAGTTTTTGATACTTCGCTTTTCTGTCACTGAGACATGATACCTGATACCCACAACTTAAAGAGGAAAGGCTTAGATGGCTTAGTTTGTCGGGACTGGCCCACAGTGGGGGCTCCGAGGAAGGTCATGGCAGAGCAGATCTACTTAGTCACAGCAGCCATGAAGGAGACCAGGACAGCAGTGGCAGAACAGGAGGGTGAGGGACCCCAAGGCCACACGTTCATGGCCTGCCCAGACTCACTGAGAAGTGTGCTCTGTCAGTCCCCTGGTGGACCCTAAACCCAAGCAAATGGACTCTCCTCCGCAACTACCACACTACACTGAAAAATGTACAACTGAACAAAGAAGAACTGTCAAAAACCCCTTCATATTTCAGGGTTTTTTTATGCATAGGCAAAGTTTTCTCTCTGTGAAAGGAGTAAATGGGACATTTAGAAGGAAAAGATGAAAATAGCATCTTGTGTCAGAAAATTAAATAGAAACCTCTTCCATGTTAAATAACTTCTTTGGCACAGAAAGCTAGAAGGATGCAAATTTTATAGCTTTGAGAGAAATGGTTGTTGCTTTTGTTTTATTGTTGTCCTGGTTTAATCTTTGAAGACTGTTTAAAAATCCAAGTGCAATTTAGGTGGGACTCTGATAGGGCTTTTGTAGCGTGCCTGTGAGATTCATGGGCTTTGAGGGTCTAAGCATAAATGTCACTCAAACAAATTAGATATCCTGTAAACACTCTTCTCCTTACCTCCCGCTCTGCCTCCTCTCTCCCCTCCCTTTCTCTCCTTCCCTGATGCATTGCTTTTCTTTACAGCAAGGGGAAGTTGACTGCTGGCCCCTACCCTGCCCTGATGTGGACTGTGAGTTTAGTGTCCTCCCAGAGAATGAGTGCTGCCCGCGCTGTGTCACAGACCCCTGCCAGGCTGACACTGTCCGTAACGACATCACCAAAACCTGCCTGGACGAGATGAATGTGGTCCGCTTTACGGGATCCTCTTGGATCAAGCATGGCACAGAGTGTACTCTCTGCCAGTGCAAGGTAAGGCCCATTGTGTTCAAGTAGCGGGCACTTGGCAGGCGGTGCCAGCCTCAGAGACACGCAAACATGCCTGGCCTCGATGGTGGGAAGCATTTGCCTTTGCTATTTATTGTTCAAACAGAGGTGGGAAGAACACCACTCAGCTTTATTAGTTTCCAAACTGATTGTCGAGTGCACCCTCAGATGTATATTCCGAGAGGAGGTGAGTGTATGCACTGAAACCACAATGATTAGTGGCAACACCTTACTTAAATCACCCTAATACATCTAACACGACCCATCTTTTACAAAGCTACAGCACCTAACCGCGTGTTTCTTTTGTCATGATGAAAGACAATATTATTTTATTGATTTTTATCTAGTTCTTTTATGAAGTCTGTAAAATATATTGACAAAGTAGATACATTACATCTTCTAAAGTGGAAATCAATAAGGCGAAATGGGCATGTTTCTTGGGTTGCTGTGGTCAGTTACATTGAGTTGAAGAATTTAAGGTCTGTGTTTACCATATTTTATTTGTACAGTTGGTGGAAAAATCATTATAAAGATTTTTCCCTTTATTCTCATAGGAAAACAGTGCCTTTTGCTTCAATGAGAACAAAAATACAGATAATATAGCGAGAGTAGGTAGAGTTCAGAGTGAGCAAGTTGGAAGCGTTCTGATCATTACTTCTATAAAATTTAATTTAGTAGCCTTCTACTTCAGAGTCATAATTTTAAGATCAACAGTGAAATTAAATGCATAACATAAAGGCTTGAAGACAACTATAGCAACAACAAAATAAAGATGTCAGTTTTTTATGCATTATATAGCTATACTCTGGTTTTTAAGTGAACATGCCATTTTTGTAAATTTTTTTCAATAGAGCAATTTAGTTCAGACTCACTTGGCATAAATTCTTACTGAAGTGGATTAATAGGACAAAGACATAAAATGATTTAGGCTTTGAGACATCTCTTTTCTCTTTTTCAGACCCAAATTTCTTGTTATTTCAATCCATGTAAGGGCTGGGGAGATGGCTCAGTAGAATAAGCATTTGCCTGGCAAGTGCAAGGACCTGAGTTTAATCCCCAGTTCTACCAAAAAAAAAAAAGAATCAATCCATGTAATTTGTTAATCAGGCAAGCCTTTCCAAGTGAACATTTGCTACTGTTTTCTATAAGTACACCAGCAAATTTGAAAGTAACTACTACTAACAGCTAGCAATAGTAGGCATGCAGTGCTACTTCAAGATGTGATTAGCAGGCAAACCTCATGCAGTGAAGGTCTCAGAACTCGAGTGCCAGTGACCAACATGAAGTTCTTTCTAATATTTAATGATCCAATAGAGTTGAGTCTTTTGCACCCTTAATCTGACAGATTACTCTCCTAAGCAGTGACAATAAAAGTATATACCAAGAGATGTCATGAACATTATACAAAAGTAGCTCAGACAGGTACTTCCAACAAGAAAATGCACTTTCTAAGTGGCAGGAAACACTGGCAGTGTTTCTTGTGGACTGCACAGCATGCATGAACTCAGAAAGCGACTACTGAAATCTTGTGACTCTGGGTAGGAATGTATTATGTATTCCAGAAAGCATATTTTGATATTAAAGTTATTTATTCTTGTCAGGTAAGTACTGATTCTTAAGTTACTATTTCATGCCATTTGCCTTCTTGTAAGCATAGATTATAAAGATATGTTCAATTTTAAGAAATGTGTTCTATTTACCAAAAAAGTATTACATTTATTTTGTAGTATTTTAAATACTAAAGTTCTTGCAAACCTAGCTTTAGATACTGCAGTAGAGGTGCACCATTCATTAAAATTCAGTGTTTTCAGAACACTGATTTTATTACTTCTGTATTCTACTTTGAGTCACTCATTTTTAGTCAATAAATAGTGACAACTTGGGAAGCATTCTAATTTGATTCCTGTCCTACAAAATTTAACTTAGTGGCTTTTTTCTTCCCAGTCATAACTTTAGTATCTACATGAAACTAAAAAACAGTGTAAAGGCTCAGCAACAGTGTGGGGCATTGTGCTGCGACAGGGGTAACATGGAGAGCAAGGCCAGACAGCAATCCTCCCTGGAAATTACTGTCTCCGAGCTTATTGTCTGAGGCTGTGACATGAAGGCCATTTCAACTAATTAAAATTGAATCAAATGTAAAACTCAGTTCCTCAGTTACCTACCCGCGTCTCAGCTTCTCAACAGCCTTACGTGGGGGCTGGCTATTGCACTGCCACAAGTAGAGAACATTTCTGTCCTGGAAGGACGCTCTTTTGTATGGCACTGGTCTGGGGATCAAGGCTGCGGAAATAGCTTGGAAGCCTAGCGCCTGCCTGCAACCACAAGGACCCGGGTTTGGTCCTCCGTCCTGCGTGCCATGTTGGCCCCAGGTTCCAGGGCACACCCTGCCAATCCCAAAACTGGGTGTGGAGGTGCACACCGTTAAGCCCAGTCCTGGAGAGGCTGCGACAGGGGGATAGCTACAAGCCTGAGCTGCACGGTGATACCCCATACCATGTAAAAAAAAATACATAGAAAGGTTTTTTTGAAATTTTTAAAAATGAATGCAGCCTAAGAAATCAAGTTTCCTAGAGGTAAACCATGGTAAAGCACACTGATTATATAACTTCAGGGAGCCTTCCTCAGTCCTTCTGTTGCTCAGCTTGCGAACCTCAAAAATGGAAATAATGGTACCTACTTGGGGTATGTAGTAATACCTACTTGAGAGGGTTGCTATAAGAACTAAGTGGGCTGGTGAGATAGCTCAGTGGTCTACAGTGCCTGTTTAGGCAAGCTTAGGCAGGCATGCAGGGACTGGGGTTCAATCCCTGGCACCACATGCCCCGCCAGCCCTGCCCTCAGGGCAAGCTGAGACAGCCACCAAAAGAAAAAAAAATTTAAATGAGATGATCCACAATAAACTTCATACAGTGTTCAACACATCAGAGCAAATACTCGAGTGCTGGCTGTTATTATGTGCACTGAGCACTAATTTAACTCTTGACACAGTTAATCCTACACCTGTGAAGGATGTGTTAAGAGATGAACCGTGCCAAGGGGCTGCACAACATGCGAGAATCTAGGCAAGATTAGAACTGAGGAATAGGAGGTCCAAAGGATCTGCCTTCACCTTTTTTGAAAATGTTCTCAGATTTCATTGGCTGAGGTTAAAAACCCTGCATCATCCCTTCTGCCTCTCTGATTGTCCGTCTTCAGAGTCTCTTCTGCATTCTGAGAACCAACTGAGGATCTGAGAGGAGGCGTATGTTGAGTGATTCTTCACAGACATTTCCCTCAACTTTCAGCTACCCCGCCAGCCCACGCCCCGTCCTCTGACTCGGCTGGCCACAAGCAGTGTGCCTTTCCACCTGAGTGATAGCCAGACCCGAGGAGCACCCCAAGGGGACGAGAAACAAATCTGTCACAGTACATTTCCCTTCCTTCAGGGTCGAAATTCCTCTGGTGCCAGCTGCCACTCTCCATGGCTTTCAATTGTTACTTGATTATTCAGTCCAGATTTTATAGTTGTTATCTAAGGGACGGTCAGCCTTACATAAGAAATTGTGTCATTACTGAAATAGGAACCTCAGTGGGATGTTTTATTAGTCTTTCCTTTGAGAAGTATGTTTCCCTAATGAAGGAGCTGCCAGTGATATAGCTTATAGAACATTTGTCCTGGAAACTGCCGACCATACTGATGTGGAAAAGGAAAACACTCCTGGAAGACTTGGGAAAATAAATACTGGTCGAGCCTTCATATAGCTGCACACTGATGGGAACCACACCAGTGGCTTTTAAGTTATGGTCCTCCAGCACCACTTTCACACACTCTAGCAGAAGGCACCACAAATTGCCAACTTCATTTCTATTCAAGAGTGCCACAGTTTAGGGAACGAATTCTCTGAGTGGTTGGTACACCTGTCACCTCCTTGGGCCAGTGGATTAGGAAAGATCATGCATCCAGGTTCTAGTAAGAAAGCTCCTGCCTCTGAGCTGAAAGGCCACATTTTCAGAGGCCACTAGAGATCCTAGACATCACTGGGTCTCTCTGCCGGAATAGTAATTCTGCTTAATAGGCACTCCGAAGGGTGAAGACTAGGTTCAGTTGACGGTATTCTTTTGGGATATATAGACTGCCTCTTCCCCTCATTTGCTGTGCTCCAGCAAAGGCTGGAGTATATAACATTTTCTTTCTTAAAGTTTATCTTATAGAAACAAAGAATTTTTATCATATTAAAAGACAGATAGTGAGGTTAAGCTTATCAGCCTAGGTTGTATGGTAATAACAATAAGCTTCTCTTCTGGAGGGTTAGCAACCTAAGTTTGCACACCAAAATTAAAGAAAAAGGAGGGCCACAAGGAGAGCCAACATTTTGGCCCTAGCCTTCTAAGGTCAATTAAGACTCAGGACATATGAGAACTTGTACTGTAACATCATGTAACTCAGTTATGTCCCAAATTTTCTGATCAAGGAGATTATGGGGCCAAAGAGGAAAGTGATCGATGATGTAGAGTGTGCCTAAGGAGAGTCACATGGAGAGAAAACATTCTCTCAGGATTTCACAGAGAGCAAATTGGCCAAGCAATGGCTGTGACTCATACGCATGGCTGACACTGACCAAGGATCTACAATCTGAGATACAGGGTCTCAGGATAAATGCTGATGGGATTTGACTGACCTTATCAGATACAAGAGCTACAATTCTTGTTATATAGGTCTTGTTTTATCTTGTTCTTAACCATCCAGCAGAAAAGTATAAAAATGAAGTATAAGAAGTAAAGCCATGTTGTTACGTTGAGCTGTAGGGGACTCAGGTCAACAACTGACATTGCCAGTCAAGCAGAAGACCCAATAGTATTATGGACTACTGGACTATTTTGGAATATTTTGCTGAGTTCACACTCCTGTAATATTCAAATGACAGAACTAAACAAACAAAGGGGATACAGATGAATATCCATTTTGTATCTGTGTATTCAAAATGGTTAGGATAGATATACAGCTACATTCTCTTAGTTTAGTGAATAGAGGGATTTGTTCTAATAGTTTTTGTAAATAGGATATCATGTCTGCATCTTGTACAACAAATAACCACTAGGAAGACAGTATGCAATGTGTTAATTATTGGAACTGTCTTACCAATTTGATTTGAAACTATCTCATTGCTATTTGTTTCTCAATAAAATTATGGGGGAAAAACAAAAAAAAAATAAAAGATAGTACATCTTCAATCATTGTAAGTCCGTTATCTGCGTGAAATATAAAATAGAGAATGATTTACAGCGACAGACTAACTGGAGTTTTAACCCCATCACTGTCATTTCTTAACTGCGATTTTGGATATCCTATTTAAGCCTCTTGATCTTCGGTTTTTTGAATTAAAAAGTGTATTTATAGTGATCCTACAGGGTGTGCTGTGACGTAGAAATTAGATAATGCATTTCAAATTCTTGGCTAAGTGCCTCACGCCGAGGACACACTCAAGAAGTGTAAGGAAATTAGCATCTCTGCGGTTATAGTAATGACATTAACATTGTCGTGATTAGCTGCTGGTTGAGAAAAGTTAGAGTGCAGGGAAACGGAAGAAAGTACGTAAGTTTTCCTTTTCTGTGGTACTTGTTATTATCTTGATACTGAATGATAAAAACTAATTCTATAAATCCATTCCCTGTTGGTCTGTTGCCCGCATTTCATCTCTGCAGTATTTTCTTTGCCGACTTAAAATTCTCACCCAAACCTTCTTTCACTTTCCTCACTACAAAAACATCTGTCCCTTCTAACCCACTCCTCGAGCTGTTTCTGATGCTTTCGGCCTTTCCTGCCACGCAGCTTTCTTCAGATCTGGATTTAAATGCCACCTCTGCAGAGAGGTCTCCCCGGCCCCCATCTCAGTAGATGTCTCCTGTTCATCTCGCAGCTCAGCCTAATTCACGTCACTTGTCTGAGTTCAGGCTGCTGCGACAGAGCCGCAGTTGCGGTGGCCTAAGCGACCGAAGCACACAGCTCACAGCTTTAGAGGTGGCAAAATTCATTTGTCACGGCGCAAGATCAAGGTACAGGCAGGTCTACTGTGGACGGGCATCTACTCTTTGTGTCCCTTATCTGGAACTGTCCTTACCCATGAAGGCTCTGACCATGCACCATAATTAACTCCCAGAGAACTCGCCTCCTGAAAGGATTACATAAAGGATTAGGACTTTTGAGAGGATGTGAACGTCCAATCCATAACACTTTCCCAGCACTTGTCACAATTTAAATTTCCTTGGTTCTTATTTGTTTTCTTCCCCACAAAAAAACTGTCAGATTTCCCCCTCAGGTTAGTAACCAGGTCTGCTTTATTTAGCAATGTGCTTAGTCCTTAATATAGTAAATATTATTGTGAAAGAATAGCAGAGTAAATATGATACACACTTAGGCTGCCTCACTGGCCACGTGTAACTGGTGTGAGCATTCTGCAGGGCTAGTCATCTGCAGCTGCTTGACCAAGTCTCAGTAGGGCAGAGCTAAACTTTGCAGGTAGGTGCATGTGTAGTGATCAATGAATGTGAGCATTTACTAATGGCTGAAAAATTAATGCATCACCTTTCTTTCTCTAGAACGGCCAAATTTGTTGCTCAGTGGATCCACAGTGCCTTCAGGAGCTGTGAAGTTAACTGTCTGATGGAGATTTCTGTTTCAAGAATGCCCTTTCTTTATGAAGTCCAAAACAAAAGTTAGACTTTAAATTGGATGAATTGTGGGCAGCTACATGCAGCTTTGTTAATAGCTGATTAAACTGAATTATAACGTCTGCAGAGCCTGAGAAAAATCACAAAAGGAAAATTCCTGGGGGAACTAGACCACAACTCTGCCTCGCCTGTACTTGACATCACATCGGCCTGAGAGAAACGTGGGTGGGAAAGCCCACCCTGCACTCACCCTGTGCCCACCCTGACACCCAGAGTGGAAGCCTGAGTCCACTGGATCTTTGCAAGCCTCTGACTTCGCTGGGCGGAAGCTTTCCCTCTAGATTAGAATCTTCATGAATCAGTAGGTTCCTCACTGCAAAAACTAAAATGCAAGGTGGCGAATGAATTATATTTTCAGAAGTAAAGCAAAGAAGCTATAACATGTTATGTACAGTACACACTTGGAAAAGAAATCTGAAACAAGTTATTGTTATGATAAAAATAATGCACAGGCATGGTTACTTAATATTTTCTAACAAGAAAAGTCACTCCTTATTTCCTTGTTTTACTGCACTTAATATTATTTGGTTGAATTTGTTCAGTATGAGCTCGTTCTTGTGCAAATTAAATAAATATTTCTCTTACCTTATAATGTGTCTGAGTCCTTTTGTCTTCTTCAGTGTGTCCCTCTCTTCCACAGATGGTTCAGAATATGAATTGCTTTCTAGTTCTGCTCGTGAGAAACTCCTACTATGGCATGTCCACGGTGAACAATGACTTCCACTAAATCATGAGCTTAAGTGGGGATGAGACAGGTATTGCTTTGGATCCTCAATTCATTTTTCTACCCTGCTTTTGTATCCTAACCCGGGAAGCGAAGCTCGCCTATATGAGGAAGGATTGATGGGTGCTCTTTCTTCTGCACTCCGGTCTGGTCTCAGTTGTACTGCAGTAGGGACACTGGTAGCATAGCAACCCAAGGTAAAGTTTGGACATTTATTCCACTGGCTTCCTTCTTACTAGGTCAAAGCCTTGCTGTACTGTGTCACCTCTCTGAAGGTGACATCTCCTACAGGTACTACCCTCTTTAGATTCAGATAATGTCTTCTGGCTTCCTCTGCCTCAGAGGTGATAACAGCTCCGTCCTTGGGAAGTCTCTGCACGGTTTTGTGTTGGTTTTCCTGGTTCCAGTCCCATCCTTAGAAATGGAACCTTGGTTGGACTCTTTAATCAGCTGTTGTAAGTGTGCCATCTGGCTCCTGCCAGGATTCTGAGGGATGAACGTAAGGAGGGAAATGTGCAAAGGCTGGGGATGTCTTCAAGAACTGGTCCTTCCCTTTTGGCTATATAAAGCCTTGTCAAGGTGAGAGGGGATTACTGTATTCCACCAGAGTCTCAGGGGAGAACGTAAACATAGATCCACATGAGAAGTTATTCTGGTATAGCCCTATTGTTATGTTTTATATTGGGATGGAAAGAAAATAAGAGTATTGTCAAATTAATTTTTAGATGCATGGAGGCATTTTTTTTTATTTAAAGAAAAAAAAATAGCCAGAAAATGCCCACTACACAGATACAGAAATGGTCAAGTGGCTTTTAGCTAGCTTGTCACCGTTGCTATGGAAACAACCTAACGTAGGCTGAGTGGAGGAATATTATGATGTGTCGACACTTAGACATGTAAAATATCTATTGCCTATGTAAATTCAAGCTTTTACATCCCCTGGAATTATCATACAGAATTTCTATCACCTTTTAATTTAATTTATATTTTCAGCAAAGCATAAGACTTATTTTTATATACTATATTACCATGGTAAGTAGCAATTTAGTATCCAGGAGAGTATTTGTTAATGAGGAGATTTTTTTCCACATTAGTTTTTCTTTATATAGGTTTATTTCATATTTATTACTCCTGAAACAAATGCATTTCTTAAAACCCACTTATTTACTTAGTTCAGGGTCTCACTACAGAGCTCGGACTCAGTGTCTCACGCTCCATAGAACTGGATTACAGGCGTGCGCCACACGTATCCACTATGTAGGCATCGTTGTAGAAGCAGGTACAAGGCTGGGATTTCATAGTCTAAATCACTTTCAAGTCCTTAGAGTGTTTTGAGCAGCTTGGTGACTCAAAGACTTGCTTTTCATCAATGATGGGATGAAAGAAAGCTCATAATGGCTGAGAAGGAAAGAGGAAAAACAAGACAGTGCTTTCATCAGGACCGTTAGATCGATGAATCTGTTCCCCTCCAAAGGGAATTTTCTCCCTACAAAGGAAAAAATGGTTTAAACAGAAGATTCATCCCCCCGAAAAAACAATATCTGCAGATACTGTTTTATCCGCAGACCCCTACAAGTAGCAAAAAATTATTTATTAAGAACTTTGTCCCTTGAAAAAGGGGCATTTAGTGCCTTGTTTGTCACTGGTGATGGCTGTCAAAGGTGTGATGGGAGAATTGTGCCAACTCTGCAGGAAAGTAAGAGCAAAGAATTGGGATTTGATCTGCATGTGCATAGCTCCTTCAAGCGCTAGTCTGAATAAAATGGCTCTTACTCTATTTTGTTTGTTTCTCCTCTTCTAAAGGGGAAAGAAAAACAACAAAAACTGAGGACATTTAAGTGTCTCTTTAGTAAGTAATGTAGAGTAAGCTGTATCATTTATCTACCTGAGTGAAAGTCTGCCACGTTACTGTTTTGCCCATCTTTCATGCTGTAAAGACTTCTGGGTATGTTCCGTTACACTGCAATACCGTAAAACTCCTTTTATCCTGCCAACAATGTGGGCATCTGCAGGCAAAGTGGAGATGCCCTGCCACTGCCTCACCAAATACACAGTGTTTCAAGGGTCTAAGACAGCAGTCAGTACTCTTGAGTTCCGAATGGAGCACAGGAGCTCCTCGGTAAAAGCAGAAGTTGCAGGCACTGAACAAAAGATGGGCCTCTCTCTGTTCACCAAGCATTACCTCATCTACCAAAGCTCCACACTGCCAACGCAGGAGCGCTCCTGCAGGTCAGCAAGCCCCGCGGACAGCAGCATGGCCCCCGTCCTGTCGATCTGGTGCTTAAGCGTTGATGAAACCAGTTGTTCTCAGAGCGAGACCTTCTGTGCTTTACTTTTGCAGATGTAGAGTGCTTGTAGTCCAGTAGTAAACTGATCTCAGAGATTCATGCTGAAAGGGCTCTTACAGGCTGAAAGAGCGCTTCATTGAAGACAGTCTGGCGCGCTGCGCGCTGCGGCAGCGAAGTTAGCTCGCTGTTCTTACTGCCCTTCCATTATGGGTGCTCGGCTGCGCCCCCTCGAATTCAACGTCATCATAAAGAGTTGCCACCTCTGCAGGGGAACTGTCCTCGCTTAATCGACCTGCAGGTGGAAAGGCAACAGTATCTTGGACCTGTAGTGGCTCCAGGTCTGCGGTGACATAAACTGGCGCAGAGTAGACCTCCTGGAAGAGTTCGGGTCGGGACAGTCAGGGCTGCCGCGGCTGGTGTTGCTCCTGTCTGCCGGGAGGCCATGTTGCTGTTCTGAGATGAGATCTCTTTTCATAAGGCTGTTTGCATGACAGATTCTGAAATTTTTCTTTATTCTGAATGACAGATGGCACAATATATGACTGTCACTGCCACAATATTTCGCTTAAAGCATGCTCTCCTATTTATCTTCAGTGCTCGTTGCTTTAAAATAAATTCTAGTCTAAAATAAGACTGACTACATGCTAAGGCAGAGATGATGCTCCGTTTACTTTAAATAACTTTTTCACTGAAATCCTGTGACAAATAGGGGAAAACAGAGAAAACCTTGTGAAGTGTAATTGTATGAAAAACATTGGGCTATGCTTCCCAAAAGTGAGGCGTGACCATGTCAAGAAAATAGCAAAGCCGCATTTCAACAAATCACTGCGCAGGGCCCAGCGGGTTCTCCGCGTTCTGCTACACCCAGTGGTGGAGCCCGCCGGGCCTGCTAACTTCGCGGTCGCTGAGTTCCCGAGCAGGAGCGCCCAGCCATCGTAGCGGGCAGAGTGAGTGGCTCGTAAGCACTCATTTACTGCCTAGATGGCAGCATACAGAGCTAGTCAAGGTGAAAATTCTAGACTTTAACTGATATTTTCAAACACCTGATGCAAATTATGAATACAATCATCTCAGCCATCCTGTATATGTACTTCCATGTTTTTCACCCTTTCTTTTCTTCCTATCTTTTCTCCTTTCTCTCATGTTCATTGTTTAATCCTTAAGTTCAGCTTTTTTCTGTTTTCTGATAGTGTACCTTTCAGGTTGTATTTCCTCTTTCAGGTTCTTGCCCGAGGGAGACAATAGGATATTTCCACGTGTGTGCCTGATTTATGTCACTTATGAGTGTAGCCTCTAGTTCCATCCACTTACCTATGAAGGCTCTGAGTTTGCCTTTCTTTATAGCTGAGTAGTACTCCAGTGTGTAAAGATACCACATTTTTTTCATCCATTCCTCAATGATGGGCATTTGGGTTGCGTCCAAGATTTGGCTATGACAAATTGTTCTGCTATAAACAGGGGTGCACATATATCACTATGGTATGATGTTTTCAGTTCTTTTGGGAAAATACCCAGAAGAGAAAAAGCTGGGGTGAATGGGATTTCCAGTCTCAGCTTTTTGAGGAGCCTCCACATTGATTTCCATAGTGGTTGTACCAGTCTCCACTCCCACCAGTGATAGAAAAGTGTTCCTTTTCCCCCACAGCCTCTGCAGCATTTGTGCCTACCCAGGCAGTATGTGGCTCAGAGGGAAAGGGGGAATTAACAAACACATTATGTCTGAAAGTGGCAAGGGCTATGAGGCAAAGCTAGGCCAGGCTGAGATGGCAATTGGGGCAGGGATGATAGGGTGGCCAAAAACCTTCCCTCAGGAGAAGAACAGTACAGCAAATGCTTCTGAGAAGCAACAGAAGGGGCCATCTGCAGGCCTGGATAGGCAAATACCAGCAGAGGGAACTGTGTGCTCTGGGATGAGGAGGAACTGCTTGGAAGTATCTTGGGGAGCAGGGTGACCCCACTGACTGCTTGCCTGTGGTAGACACTGTTGGAGAAGTGGCCAGTGACCGAGTGAGGCTCTCCTGGACCGTGGTGAGAGGGTCGGGCTTATTCTTGCTGACATGGGAGTCATGAGAGGGTTCTAAGCATGGCCGTGACATAACCTGACAGACTCCTTCTGTTACGCAGTAGAGAGAGAAGGGTAGGCAGGGTGTCAGGCGGGCGGGGGAAGTACATTCATACCACATGACATCAGACGCAATGTCAGTAACAGACTGGGATAATAACAGTGGAAGAGCCAGAAGGATTTGATATTAAAGGAGATCCAATTAATGAAATGGATAAAAGGATTAAATATCACAAAAATATCAGTTCTCCCCAGTAATTCTAATAAGGAAAAAGTGCCTTCAGGGTGGCATTAAACTATTACAGAGAAACAAATGACCAAGACTAGCCACAGTTGTTTGAAAGAAAAATTATAATTGGGGACAACAACATTTACACTAATA